GAAAGTGGCTGATCATCAGCAATATAAAAAAAAATCATTATTAGTCTATCAGAATACGCTACCCCTGATCTATTAAATAAAGATGGCATAATGTAGATTTCAACATGCTCCCCACCTCCTGTCACAATCCTGTCTGTGTGTCTTGTTGGGGAGTCTGGGTTTTGGTTCCATGTCTTTGTTCCTAGTCCTTTGCCTTAGTTCATGTCTTAGTATTTGCTTCTAGTTCTTTGTCTGCATTATTTTGGTTTAGTCTGCTCTGTACTCTGTGTTCTAGTTCTGTGTTCTCGTTTAGGTTTTGTCTGTTATGATCCCTGTGTTATAGTTGGTCGGTGTTTGTCTGTTTACATGGGTTTCTGTTATTGTCTGAAGTTAGATTCTTGTCTGGTATTTTGTAACATGTGTTCTGTCTGTGTTGGTTATTAATTTTGCCCCATGTCTGCCTGTCAAGTTTTCCATCTGTTCCCCCAGTTATCTCTCTGCCTGCCTGCCTGTCTCTCTGTTTTCCCTGCTGTCTCTCTGTCTGCCTTGTTAACCTTGATCTGTGTCACCTGTGTTGCTCCCGCCCTGCTTGTTAGTCCCTGTGTATATTTGCCTGGTGTTTCTGTTAAGTATTTTGTGTGGTCATTGCAGTGTTTTGTAGTGTGTATATGCTCTGTTATGTTGTATGGAGGAGTGTTCTGTCTGTTGCTGTTTCTCCTGTTGTTTTTTAGATACAAGTCAACTACCTATAGACTTGATATTCTGCTTCTGTTGGATTAAATCCCCTGAACAGAATCTCTGCCTTGGTGTCTTGCATTTAGGCTCACGCTCATGCTTGCACTCATTCTGTAAACCTTGACATCTCCTTACTGTACACATGGAGTGAGTAGTGGTGCAATATAAAATGGCGTTATAATATAATCAAAAAACAGAAGATGTCATAATACTGTGGGAGTTAGGTACCTTTATGGGATTGAAAAAGGGGACACATAAGGTATCATTTTTCGATAGGGCAGCATATGCTGTCAGAACACCGGTCCTAGGATTGCGGTCCTGAAACTGCAGCCTACTCTCATTTGCAGTGGTGACTTGGATGCGGTCAGCTGATCTTCTACTAATCATGTGGAGTATGTAGCATTGGGTCACTAACATAACATAATATGTCATCTATGGAAACAGGTAACACTGTAGTTCAGTGTTGTGTTGCTACTCACCTTAAGTTTAACCGTTTCTAATAATTATTAGAAAGATGGCTGACTATGCTTTTATGCTTTTCCATTTCCCATCTTGAGTTTCAGATTTGATGTTTGCCTTTTCTTATTTCCATTCTTCCAAGTTTGGTTATGGTCTGGTTATTCCTAGTGTAGTAAAATAATCTATTAATTTGATCTCTTTTGATTTTGTATTTGGACTATTCATTTGAATTATGACCAAAACTATCCTCTATATATGCGGAGGTCCGCCATTATGTCTGATCCAGGTCATTCAATTTTCAATTCAATTCACTTTTATTTATATAGCGCCAAATCAAAACAACAGTTATCTCACAGCACTTTTCATAAAAGAGCAGGTCTAGACCGTACTCTATGATGTTATTTACAGAAGCCCAACAGTTCCCACCAAGAGCAGCACTAGGCGACAGAGGCAAGGAAAAACTTCCTTTTAAGAGGCAGAAACCTCGAGCAGAACCATGGCTCAGGGTGGGCGGCCATCTACCCGGTCAGTCAGGTTAAGAACGTTATGAAGCTGAAGATGAGGAAGTAAAGTTAAACATCTAACAGGTACAAAGTGTAAAACAATTCCCATCTTTTAGGTTTTTAAAATAAGTTCAACTTTGTTTCATTTCCCCTCAGTCTTTCTGACTGGAGCGGCAAAACAACGGAGCAACAGCTCTTCTACAGTGGTGGCGGTAGTGCATCTTTCGAGAAGACTCGAGCTGCAGCCTGCAGACAAACCAGACAAACGTGACGGAAGTTGATGGAAGTTGAACTTCCATATATGGTTTGTCCCACAAGCCACCGCGCACAAAACGTGATGACGTTTATCTCGGTCGTTCGTCCCACATAGAGCCGTAAAAAAAAAAGAAAAGAGCCAATAAATAAGTGTCAACATACCGATCAGTGTACATTTGGCGTTAATATTTACTCTATACTAAAAATATATATATATAGATATAATTATAGTACATTAATACTGTAAATATTTATTTATAATAGTGTAATGATAATAATAAAGCAATGTTTCAATTCATACTGTTGTTGTATATTTTATTTGTTCCAAAGTGATTTTAAGTTTCACAAACCAAGAATATTCTGTACATCACGAGCCAGATGTATCTTGATTTAGGTTAAAACTTAAAACAGGGTCAGGCACGCCCTCAAACCAAGCTAGTCTGAGCAGAGGCCCTTTGGCTCGACTCGCCTTTGTTTGGTTTTCCATTGTAGAAATGTTGGACCTGTACCTGCTTCCAGGTACTTTTTTTCGTATCACCTCCGTCGAGGTTCCAAGCGAGGTGAGGGAAACTAAAATGTAACGTGAAAGCAAGCCCCTGAACCCCTAACTACTTGGTGCGCCGCACTGAGTGGCAGCCCCCTCACTCTGACATCTCTGTGTGTTGCTGTAGTTCTTCTTTGTGTGCATGTGTGTGTCCTTCGGACCTGTGTGTAAAAAAATACTAACAGAGTGAAAACATTGAGTTTCCCCTCGTGGAATTAAATAAAGTATATATTCTTCTTCTTCTAATTTTTATGTAAAATTCAGTTGAAATATGATGATTTTTGTAGTGGTTTATGGTAAGATGTGGAACAATAATGTTGTGTGGTTGTGGACTTGTGAGTAACTGATACCATCTGCTAGGTTACGGTCGCAGTCTGAAGCGGCTTTGATTTGGATCACACTACCTTGTTTCTTACGACCCGCCCTTCTCTGCTTCTGATTGGCTAATAGTCCTTACCTGGGGCGAGGTCAATCTCAAAATGTTTTGCACCGGTTTGGAACATTTTCTCATTGAACGACATGTTTCCTTGCAACGTTACGCAACGTTCTGCAACAGGCTTTGAGGTATGTTTTCTCCCGTTTGGTGGGCGTGTCTCAGGTGTTACCCAATCAGCTGCGATAAGTTTGTAAACACAACGGTGTAAAAAAGGCAGGAAAATTCAGTGCGCTTGCGTACACAGCAGGATGTTTAGAGAACCACCGGTTCAGTTGAAATAAATGTTTTGCTACGTTTTGTCAGCGCTGAACTCGGCCCAGGGAACTGCGCATGTGCAACTCCCAACAAAGATTTTGTACAAGTAAGATGCATCACTCTGTAGCTCAAGAGCGGAGTGTGCAACACACAGGGTGAAAAGAGGAGCTGCAGCAATGTGCAGTATGAGAAAAATATGGTGTTTTTTGAAAACTAAACCATGTAAACCTGTTCTGGTACAACCCCTAAATAAGATTTTGAACCTGAAAATGAGCATAATACCACCAACTCAAAAAACTTGCAAAAGGTTCTTAAGCCTTTAATCTCTCACTCTGGTTCTGGTGCTCACAAATTTTCCACCATATTAATTTTTTTTTGAGATTTGAGATGCTCCTGTACTAATCTAACAAAAGTAATAATAGGCTAGTTTAATGAAAATCACTGTCCAATCACATCACATGTCCGAATCTCATAAATAACCCTTTCTGACTTTTGTTGCACACATGAGACTAAAATGATTTGTTTCAGCGAGTTATGGTGGCATTTCGGCCTCAGTCTAAAAAGTGCTGCTATAAGTTTTATACGCCACCAGATGCAACTGTGTTTGCTTAGCTTGAAGCCCCAAAGCTTCTTAATGCTTCATCCACTCATCACTACTTGCTAGCTGATGTTTGCTGATTTGACTGTGTTTAAGGAACTATTTTGTCCCACAGATGAATCAGCTAGGGAAGAGGAAGGACAGGCATCACAGTAAGGGACAGCAGCTGGATTAACTTGTGATCCAGGGACTCCAGAAGAAATTTAAAAGTGAAAGCAGGTGAAATAAAGGAGGAACAAGAGATGAAAATGTGTTTAGAAGAAAGGAGTAAATATAAGATGGCTAAAGGGAGCACAGATTCCAGAAGTAAATGTCAGAGAATAAGATATGCATTTAATCTTTTTTGCATCTTTATGATGATATGATAAGTTTATGATCAGTAGGGGTGAGTGAACAACGGTGTTGACCATGAAGGAGCTGAAATTCGTAAAGTAAATTAGGGATGCAAACTAGTCCTTTTAAGCTAATGAGGAGACGTTTTGTTTTGGATTTTAGTGTGCAAATGAAATGCTTCGTAACTATCCAAAAGTCACATAGAAAAAGAGATTATTCGAAGATTCGATAATTGTTTTATAATCGCATCGCAGCCCTCTGAATCGTAATCAAATGGAATTGTGAGGTGCTTAGAGATTCACACCTCCAATGATGATCAGAAACTGTTGCAACATATTTCTACTGTATTTTTGTTATGTAACTTAAAAATAGTAACATCACATAGGTTATGTCCCTTTTTAGCTGCCCGGAGTGAAAATGAGTGATCCTCAGTATTTGTTGTGTTATGGATTAACTCCAGCTGATGGAACAATTAAATTAAATTAAAGCTCTACAGGACGATTATTTTCCAAGCAACATTCATCTTTTTCCCTGATAGTTTATAGATTTTTAGGCAGTCTATCATCTCAAACAGCATGAAAAATAGTGCATTTAGCCGGCTTAATGGGAAAAAATCTCCACGGGGTGCATTGCCCCCGGACCCCCCTAGGTTTGGGCTAAGCCCCAAATGTTTATAATGTCTGGCTACTCCTCTGGTTTCTTTCATACCGGTATCTGTGTGGAACCGTTGAGTTTACGTCACAGTTTCCGACCGGACCATAATACTGGGAACAAGAAATGGCGACCTCCTTGCTGCGGTTAGGGCGACTGGGTTCCCTGAAGGTAATATAAACTGAATTGCCCCCAAACGTCTTCCATGTGTTTTGTGTGGATACTGCACCATGATAGAGGTCGGTAACGGTTTACACGTGATCCAAGACAGCGGAGGAGAAGTCACTGTAGCAGGAGGGCGTGTTGTTCGGTCTGACCCCGAGAAGGATACGATACCCCGGCCGAAAAGAAGGACTTATCTCTACCCGGAATCGCACGTGACTTTTTCCCCATAATCAAACATTACATCTCACTATAACTACAACACAACAGTTTTATGCAGACCCGGACCTTCAGGGTGAAGTTTGTACCGCACCGGAGGAAGGTGTGAAGGCTGAGTCCGCTGCTCTCTGTGATGCGGCTAACTCTTTCTCTTATTTCGTTTCGTTTTCATGTAATATTGAATTTGTAAGATGGAATTAGTACCTAGTAGTGGGCGATACTTTGATATGGTGTTAATGATAATAACTAGAATGGTAAGCAGTTGTAAGCGGGTCAAAGTCCTCCGGCTCCAGCCGCACCCCTCGCCCCGCGGAGGCCGCGCGAATCAACCCGGGCGCCCCGCCGCGGCTCCGTTGGCCCCCGCTGAATAAATTACCAGAGTTTGAAATTAAAGGGACTTGCTGTTACGGAGATATAAAATGAATGGATGTCTATGGAAGTGTTATTTGATATAGGAATAATAGCCCCATCTAGAGGCCGATTGACACCAAATTTCATACAGCCAGATAAGGTCCCCGAGTTTGGTGTAGAGCGGTCATTCTAAACCTAAGATATGACATCACATCCTGATTTTAGTGCTTTTCGCAAACATTTGTTGGCTTATAAGTCCAACAGTTTTTCGCCTATCAATATGAGGAGCACAAGAGATGGTCCGTGCCAAGTTAGGCTCCGATCGGACTTGTGGTTTGGGAGGAGTTAATAAAAATAGGGTTTTCAGTTTTTGCGATTTAGCGAAATGAAAATGTCATCGCACAAAGGCGTGTCCTATACCATACGAATCGGCAGCATCCCCCGGACACGTAGATAGTTATGAGGCAAAATGTGCATAGGTTCAAAATCCCATTGAAATGATGGCCCTGGAGTCAGGGGGCCATCCTGAACAATCCCAGCTCAACTTTCATGTCAATCTGACTTGTGTTAAATAGCGCCACCTAGGGGCTAGTTGCACCAAATGTTGCACAGCCTGTCAGGAGATTTTTGCGCCTTGGTTACTTTCAGGGATTTGTACCTAACCTGTGAGTTTCAGTGAAGGAAAAATAAAGTAAATAAAAACAAGAATGATTCCAATAGGGTTCCCAGCTCTGCTGGTACTGGGTACCGCAATGCCTTGCATTCTCAGGTTCCCAGCCCCACTCGGGCTTGGACCCCTAATAAACTTTATTTATAGACAAAGTGCTTCACAGAGAAACATACCACAGTGAATGATAAAATACACGAGGGGCAAATTAAAAAAAGTAAGAAATGACACAAAAATAAAACATCAGAATAAGTGGGAGAAAATGAAATGAGAATAAAAACAATAAAATAAGCATGCGGCTCAGATAAAATCAGGATATGCATTTCAATAAAAAGAGTTTTTAGAAGAGACTTAAAAGAAGGCACTGAATGATAGCCAGATTACCTTGGGTAGGTCGTTCCAGAGCCTCGGGGCCCTGACAGCAAAAGCTCTGTCCCCTTGTCCCCCTTGTCTGTCCCCTTTAGATTTCAGCCTGGACTCTGGAAGAGACATGGCAAGATCTCAGGCTATGCAATGGCTTATTAGGAATTAAAAGATCCAAAATATAACCTGGAGCCAGGTCATGAATCAGAATCAGAAAAAGCTTTATTGCCAAGTAGTTTTTACACGTACAAGGAATTTGCTTTGGTGATAAGGTGCTGCACATACAAACATACAGATGACATAAATAAATGTGTGTGTGTGTGTGTGTGTGTGTGTATATATATATATAATATATATATATAATATATATCTGCACAGTCTGTTGCAAGGACAAGTACTATTATTATATTACTATCATTCATCATAATATATGGTGACAGTTAATTTCATAAAAAATGATTTCTGGGTAAACTAACCAGTCAGGGATGTCTGTTTTTGATCTGTTGATCTGTTTTTTCCACTGAAATACCCCAGGAAATTATAGCAAATACTGTGACTGAAAAAACACATAACTACTGGATCCAGCTCATAAACATAGCATTGCTGTTAAATAGAAATCTTAGTTAGATGATGCAGGGTAGTATCCGGGCAACATTATGAGAAATGGAAACATTAGTACAGGGTAGAGCCCTGCAACAGTTTGCGTTGGGTCCCACGTGCGGGATCCCAATCCAGTCCTCGCATGGTGTCATTAGCTATGAAAATAATCCATTAAATGAGAGACACATTTTTCAAGTGTACGCTAAATCAATAATCTCATGTCCATATGCATGTCTTGTCCATCATTCGTTACTTGATTTTGGGAAAAAAGTGCAAATCCTCTGTAGCTTTTTTGGGCTGAATCAGCAGGATTTGAACAATGCTGATGAGCTCATTAACTGCCTTTCATAGATAATAAAACTTGGTGTGGTTGGTCTTGGTGATTCTCAAACTAAATTATTTTGAGGTTCTGAAATATCCATACTGTACTCAATTCAGCCTGCTTTGTACACACAGATATTTGTGTTTACAGTGTCTGTGTGTGTAGCTGACTGAACACACGAAGCCCTAAGATTCCAATACCACCAGCCAAACCTGCCACCTAGAAATGGCCTTGGCTTCAGTTCAGCGGCCCTTGTAAAGCTCTTGTGTAGAATAATTTTTAAAATGTAAATATTTGAACACACAACAGTTTTTAATCCCTTTTTTTGCATTTTATGTCTATTCTGCTGCATTTCCATGATGAATGCTGATTGCTGTTGTCTTGCAGTATTGTTTGGAAGTCGCACCAAACGGTGTCTGTGTTTTTCTGCAGTGTCTCCAGGTGGATAGCTGGGGCATACTGAAGACTCGCACAGCTGCCTCGTTCTGCACTCAAGCTGAAGAGCCTGCAAAGCCAGCGAAAAAGACAAAGCCTGCAAGCAGGAGTAAGGCCTTTTCATTCTGTTCACTTTATTAAGTTTGAAATGTAGGGTTTCAAGTGTTGCTGACTGGTTGCTATTGTGTATTAGAGGGTGACACGGGAGTGGATTTTTACTCCTGTCCCATCCCAGAGGAATGCCCACCGTCCCATCTTGTTCTCTTTAAAAATAATCTGAAATTATATCATTCATATTAGAACTGTATATTAATATATGAAAACTGCCCTATGATTTCTGTCCTGCCCACTCCCGTGGACTTTTCCCCTATCTTGTCCCTTTGTGTTGATTCCAAAGTTTAACGTGTAACACTTTTCTCACAGTGCAGGAAACGTGCCATAAGGTCTAAAGTCTGCTTTCTCTTACAGTCATCCATTCCATCCAGAATCATTCACTGTTAAAATTACATTTTTAGCACTGTTGTGTTGCTGAATTGTAAATATAAATACTATGACAGTATTAACAAGGTTAATGGTAAGTTACGATTGAATATTGTGTTGAGGTACTTATATTTTCCTATTTCTGTGCAGTTTTTGCAAGCTTAAATGGTGCAAGATAAAGTTGTAGGGCATTTATTCCCATTTGGAAGTCATACCACTTTACGTTAAATGTGTGTTAGTCTGTAACCACTCTTGTCCCATTTACCATTTTCCTTAACAGCAGATGTTCAGGATGAGAGAGCAACCTTGCTAGCCTACAAGACCACAGTTGCCTTCCCAGTTAGACTTTCAGAGCCTGGAGTTTTCCCAATACAGTCTGCAGGTGTAACTGATCCAGTGGCCAGCCCCACTGCCACTGCAGAAGCAGTTGTAGCTGCAGAAGCTACAGCATCTGTTATTGCTGCCAGTGGACCAGCTATAGCTGCGCCAGAGGCAGCAGGAGCTTCAGCTCCTGATCCAGATGTTGTTCAGGTTATCGCTGACACAGCTCCACCTGTAGTTGACGCAGCTCCCCCAGCTGCTGAGCCCCTGGTTGAAGCAAGCAGCAAAACCTCAGCACCAGACAACACTGCAGTTGCAGCCTCTGTCATCGACAATGCAGTCCCAGACACAGCCTCCTCTGAGCCTGGTGATCCAGCACCTGACGGATCATCCTCATCGTCGTCCAGCGACTCCAGTTCTGACTCAGACTCTGAGGACGAGAACGAGAAGGCAGAATCCCGTGTGAAGGAAAAAGCAGAAGTCCAGGAGGTCACATCAGAAGTGAAGGAAGACACTAAGGAATCGAAGAAGGAAGCTACTAAAACACCTGCTGCTGAGGCCGTACAGGAGGCTGCAGCAACAGCTCAAGCTACCCTGGAGGCACCCAGTGTTAGCTCTGAGGAGTTAGTAGACTCTGCTCCTGATATCTGCACTGCCACCGAAGACACACCGGAGGGCACTGTGACCAGCTCAGAAGTTTCAGCTGAACATGTAATACAAGATGTCGTACCTCCTGCTATCCCTGATGACGAAGTCGGAACTCAACCTGAAATTGTGACCATGCGTAAAATTCCTGTAGAAACCTCAGATCCTGCCTCTGCTGCTACCCCCTCAGAAGCAGCAGTGGAGCCTGTAGAAGCTGGAGCTGCCTCTGTAGAATCCTCCATAAAAGGTGCTGAAGTTGTCACTGTAGAAGCTGCTGAAGCCCCCGCAGAAGCTGCTGAAGCTGCCCAGGCTGAGATGGCTGCTGAGGCTGTAGCTGAAGCTTCTGCCCTTGTGGAGAGTGCAAAGAAGCTGATGGACCCTTCCCCAGTCAAAGCTGAAGCAGCAGGAGAGGAACTGCAGACGGAGGCCCCAGCTGAACTATCTGAGGGTACACACTACACCACGCTATTCCCCAAATCTCTACCTCTACCTTTCTTCTTTGTGGATCCCACAGACCATACTTTTCTCTCTGTCCCTTATAACACATTCTGTGTACTGTTAAGGTGTTAACCAGGCATCAGCTGCTGCACGCACAATAGCTGCTGCTGTTTTCAGGGCTTTTTTAGTATCACCTATTTTTTGCTTCTGCTCCATCACTGTGACACATATCGAGGACGAGTGAATAAAACCAGAAGCCCAGTAAATAAAGCCATTAAATGTCCCCAAAATAATATAAAAAAATAAATGTAGGCATTAATATATATATATATATATATATATATAAATTGATGTTGCTGTTTTATTTTGCTTTTGTATTTTTTTATCTTTGAAACAATCCCCCCAATTTATTTACTTTCTCATTTCACATTCTATTTATTCATTTTTAAATGTATTTGAATGATTTATGTATTTTCTATATGCATTTTTGCCCAAACAGTTAAAAAATTTGTATTACAACTCCCCTCTGCTACATAGCAGACAATAACAGATGGAGTTATATTAAGATATTTATATTTATGCATTTCACTATGCAAATGAGGGGCCTGTCATTCAAGGTGTGTCATGTGGTCTACGTTTCACCTTGGTTGATGGACATCACAGAGCATGGATCGACTTTACATGCCTTGCTTCCACACACTGTGGCCAGTGCCGCTGAGACAGGCAGGCAGACAGATAGGCTCACCACTGTCGTCTCAAGATGATTACAAGAAAGTCCGTAAATCACTGAACCTGTCTGCCTGTCTGTCTGCCTGTCTGTCTGCCTGCCTGCCTGCCTGCCTGCCTGCCTGCCTGCCTGCCTGCCTGCCTGTCTGTCTGTCTGCCTGCCTGTCTGTCTGCCTGTGTGCATATATGTATGCATTTTGGATGCATTTAATGACATATTGATTTTTTATTCATTTGTTTTTGATTTGGCAGTTTGGTTCCTCCACTGATGTCTGACCTCTCATTGCTTTGGTTTTCAGTGTGCTTGTTGTCCATGATGTTGTCCATCTGACCTGAATGTAGTGTATGTGTAGATTAACTATGCTTGCGGGGCTTTTGGTGCATTCCTTCTCCTTTTCTACAACATTGCATTTGCTTCTGCAAATTGAAGTTTAGACATGTCTATCTTTGAACTACATACACAACTATATTTTTGTGTATAATGAGGTGATATTGCATGCTGCATACTGTGACTAATCCTGTTCATGTTTCGGCCTTTTTCCCCTCCATTTGTGACTCAGGAATATACCATATGTAGACAGTTGATCTCTGTCTACATTAAAACGACACGCACATCTAGTGGCTGTTCAGGTGCACTGGGCATGCGCGTGCCGGTGTAAACATGAAGCTGATGCTGTATTCCGTAGTTACAGAAGATTTGGCGAAAGAATAAAGTAATGCAGACGACGAATCAGGCCAGATTTTTTTGCATGCACCAATAACGAGCTGGGACTGTTACTGAATGTAGCACGGGAGTGTGGTGGCAGAAAACAGACTGGGAGTTGTCGCAAAGTAAACATGACATGCACAGCACAAGTGTAGGCAGATATGGTCATTTGCATTTTAATAAAAAATGTTGATTAATGGGAAAAAAATGTGTTGTTAAATGTGTTTTTTCTCTGGGCACCGGTATCTGCTTTGCATGACTTATGAGACCCAATCAGAGAGCCAAGTGTGAGCGTCTGCGTCATCGTTTCTGAAGTCCTCCGTTTTTGCCAGTCTTCACTAAAGCGCTATCTGGAGTTTCAAAACAAAAAACGGGTTTGGCAGTGTTTTAAAACTCCATTTTAGGTCTTTGTTTTCACCGTTTTAGTCTGGACGGGAGGTGCAAACATAAGTCACAAGGTCTCCATTTTAAAACGAAAGAGCAGTAGTGTGGATGGGGCCAGAGTAAAAAAAAAAAATAGTGTCCTGTCCCAGTCACGAATGAAAAATCAGAAAATAGTGATTATTCAGATTACAAATGCATATTTATATATAATAAATGGTGATTCCCGTCCCACCCCGCTCTTGTTGTCTTGTCCTGTCACAGTCCCATGATAAAAAGTGAAGTTGACTCGCAGACCGCGGGAATCCCACAATACTGTATATCACACTGATGAGCAGCTACCAACCAATGGAGCTCACAGATAAAAATCCTAAACATTCCTGTACCTACAGCGCTTGAAGCAACTTTTTTGCCCAACGCTTCTGTGACCAACTGGGTAATTCTGCTTCTAGAAACAACCCCCTCCTCTCCCTGGTCATTAATTTCAACTCTTGTTAATTTCTTTCTTTATTTTAACTTCTTCACCTGAAAGCCTTTGGGATAATGTTGTTGATTAATGGAAAAAATGTAAATGTATTGTTAAATGTGTTTCTCTGATTGTGAATGTGTAAGATTTTTTCTCTGTCTTATATGCTCTTTATAGCCTTACTGTCACAGCATGCTTAGGGGTTTTCCGGACAGATTTAGATATAAAAATAAATTGGTATTTGAAGAATATTATTCACCTCTGTTTAGTCAAAAACATCAAAGCTGTATTTCCAACATGATTTTTATTTTGACTTAAAATGTATTTCATGTGTGTCTCTGCCTGTATTATTATTTCTCCAGTTTGGGCTGTCTTTACTGTTTGCAGGCACATTTACCTTCACATGCTTTCCTCCCACAAACATGATCCTTGAGGTTTTTCACACCAGTGTGTTTCCACACTCTGTTGGGGGTAATGTGGCCTGCTGCCATAGGAAATGCCCCACCATAAACTACCTTTTGTCAGCATGTGTGACTATGTAAATGTGCTGTCCCTTCAAAATCTTTTAAAATATTTACATAGCAAGTCACATTTTTTTTTTTTTCAAAGTATGCCTAGAAACAGAAATGGAAATGCCTAGATCGAGACTCAGCTTTTTGTTGCTTCAAAATCAATAACAGTAAGGAGGACATAGGATTAGACTCAGTATTTCATTTGGCTAACCTTGTGCTATTTATCTTTTAATGCATGCAGGAAGATTTGTATTCATCTTTGTACCAGACTTGGCTTTCTAAAATGCTTTTTGTTTCTTCCCCTCTTTCTGCAGAGTCTGCTGCAGCAGCCCCTCCGGAACCTGAGGAACATTTTGACAACAGCACTTATAAAAACTACCAGCACCACAACTACAACCCCTATACGTTTGCAGACCTGGATGTGGAGATGGCCAAGTTTCGTCTCCCTCAGCCCTCCTCCATCAGACACTAGAGGGTTTGGCTTGGCTGCAAACCTTTATATTGCTTCAAGAAAATGGTGTTGGTCCCTCTTTATGTATGATCATCCTCCCACCTGTCAGACTTGCATGAAATGATGCTGTTAAATGTTATTAAAGTACACAAATGAAAAGTCTGTATTTGTCTGTCATTCTGTTTTGTCTTATATAAAGGAATAGGCATATAAAGGGAAATGCTATGATATAACAATTTCATGCTACTTTTCTGCCTTGGGGGGATCATTTGAATAGAACTGAATGTACAAGTGGTTTATCTGTGTTTCTATTATTCTAGTTATATGCTTTTTTTTTCAGGAGAAAACCACCAGAATCTGTCGTCAGGTTTGTGTATTAGTGTGTATATTATGCCAGAATTTGTATTAAGTCGGGTAAAACGGAAAATATACATAGGAATTTATGTGTAAATGAGGGATGTCAAGTAAAAAACCCAGCAGGTTTCAGAGGGACTCTCAGGCGGCAAGGACGTCATATCTCCGCCCATCTCATAAATATTCATGAGGCAAGCGCCCCTGCGTGCCCTTACGCGATGACGCAAAGCGACAACTGCGGGTCCCGATTGCTGCAGCCGCTTGTCAGTGTGACGAAGATTGGCACTCAGGTAAGCTGTCACTCAAAATCCCTCTTTTTCCGTTCCCTATCAATCAAACAATCTGGGCCTCACGCAAAAATGCCCCGGGGCGAGGAGCGCGGACCTAGTTAGGGCAGCGGAGGGTGTTTTTGGAAGGGAAGCAGAAGCAACAGAGCTCCGGGAAGAATAAAAAAATCTGTATACAAGCCGAGGGGGGGGGGTGTAAAAAAAAATATGTCGGCGTTTTGGGGGGCAGAGGAGGATTGTGGAAAGGCTAAGGGCGAGAGCTAGAAACGAGGCCCGACAGTTGTAACGTTAGCGCGGAGGGGAGGGGAAGGAGAGGGCAGCTGTCCCCGCTTGATTGATTGACTGATGTGGGACGGATTTTAAGGATCAACCGGGCTAGCCTGGTGTGCATCCAGTGCGTCTTAATATCATTGCAGTCGAATTACTCTAACGTTACACAGCTGAAAAGAAATGCATATGCATTAAATTTAAAAAAACGCTAAAGCGATCGAAGCTGTCTTGGTGTTTGGCCAAACGGATGGCTTTGTATCAGTCCGCAGCTAACGTTTGGTGTCTCTTTTTTTTTTTTTTTCACCTGGCTAGCTATGCTAGCTTGTTTTTTGGCAGTTATTCCCTTGCTAAATATGGCGCTTTGCATTTTGGCTGCATCATACCAGCATAAGAAACAATTTTAAGTAAACAGTTAGCTGCCTCGCTAACGTTCGCTGTGGCTCGGCAAGACGGTTTGTCTTTCGGGTTAACCCCAGATTGGGCTCAGGAGCTAACGAACGTTACAGGCTAGCTAAATATTGTGGGAAAACAAAGCTTAGCTACTCCAGCCGAGCTGCTTTGTTGGCGAATAACACTAACGGCATTTCACTTAGTTAACGTTAGAGGATAGTTGGCTGACGTTATGCCAAGGTCTTTCTTAAACTTTTATTTCCCCTTACTGCCACTAACAGTGTGAGCAGCTAATTCGTGGCTGAAAGCTAAGGGCATCGTGGTGGGTGTGTTAACAGCAGTTACAGGGTAACGTTCACATAAACTCGCTCTTATCATAACAACAACGCACCTCAGGGTCGGTAACGTTCCATCAGTCTCAGTTTTTGGAGTGACGTGAACATAAATATGTTGACAAGATATATTATCGCAATAAATTAGTTAACTTACCCTTCATATAACGTTACTGTTTTTTCTGAGGGTGCCTCGATTTCGTTCTTTTGCCCAGACGTGTGTGCATATACTAGCACAGAACATTTAGCATTTGAGTATTTCATGATATTTTTACTTTTCTTTTTATTACTGCTGTTGTCATACAAGCCCATGTTCATTTTTGTCTTATGTTTGAGTAAATATTTGATTCTAAGTGTTTATTAATGCTAAGGCTACTTAACATGACTTCTTTGTAGTATGAAAATAAGCTTGTTCATTCTACCTTAATCACACCAGCCCCTACACTGTTAATATTTCAATAATCTTTCATTCTGACATCATGACAGTTATTTTATTAAAAGAGTTTGTACCTACCCTATGGGCATCTCTTACAGGTAGTCTAACTGAATCTATGTGTATTGTGTAGGTTGGCTACCTGTCTCTACTTTCTATAATGCCCCAGTGTTTGCAGCATCTGCAGTGAACGTGATGGCAGCCCAGTCGCTTTCCATAGACAAGTACCCAAAGGGGGAGCAGCAGGTGGGTGAGGGGGAGACATTTGGTTGGGACTTCAAGGCTTACACAACCTGCTGTAACTGGCTGAACCGCAGATTTTTGGTTGTTTGCTCAAGATAATCACCCACAATAGTGAAAAAAAACACAATGTTTGTAATAATGACTCTTAAATGTTTCGGTCTACAACTTTAAATATTCTGCACTCTTTTCACATGGATCCCCCAGTTATTTTTAGTGGTGATAAGTCAGCCTGGATAGCCAAACAAAGGGAAACACTTCATGTAACACTAGAACACAGGCAATGTAAATGATATATCAGTTTTAGTAATCTGTTGGCAGAATGCGTGTCTGTGACAGGCCACCACAAATCACTGGATGAGAGACACTGATGCAGTATAAAGCCCTTTTCTGCCCAGTATTTTTGTCTGTGCTTATGTAAATTACTTTCAAAACATCTTTATTCAAGTGCCAAATTTGGGGGTGTCGAGAGCTGAGAAGGATCTATGACTAATGAGAAATGTTCCACCCCAAGCAAGTAATTATTTTTAGCTTGTTTTGAGCTCAATCTAAGTCACTGTTGGGCTCAGTCACATGGTTGGGGATGGGATTTATGCTCTTGAAGGGATCTTTGGTAGCTGGTAGACGGGCACGGTGTGAAAATGTATAAAAGAAAAGGAGAACTCTTAATCTGTGAATGTGCCTCAAGTGGAGTGTTGCAGAAGCTACGGTCACATTTTAACGTGTCCTTTTATTTGCATCAGGTGACAGTTTTATACAGTCAGGTTGAGGGCTATATTCTCAGTTGCGTTCAGATCATAACACCACATATGGTAGTATTTAGGTCTGCATTGCAATTGTAACACAGCAATTTCAGGTGACTGGAGGTCATGAAAGTGTCCACCAGAGATGCATAACAAGTCATTTTTTGGGTCAAAAGTATTATGTCTAAGTGGAATCACAAGAAGACTTTCAAGATCTGGTAACGCTAAACATGACTATCAGTACCCTTGTGCCATGTTGTTGATAACCGTAAACAAGTCTTCACAGTCATTACATTTTTTTGAATCCAATCTCATATGAAGGCACATAGTTTTTGTAAAGTGGTTTTCAGACTATGTCCTCATGACTTTCTAAAAGATTCATATTGAAGCAATGTTCTGTGTTAAACTTTGCCCTGCGGCTTCTCTTGGTCTTCACATAACGTCTTTGTCTCTCATTCTCTGCCTTTCTCTTCACCTCTTCTGTTAGTTTGTGTCTCTCGTTCTGTTTCTGTCACTCTCTTGTTTTCTTTTTCTCACTTCTCTGTTTTCTCTCTTTCTACAGATGCACAGTGTGGTAAAGGTAGACAGCGATTCGGAGCAGAAGTTTATTGACGAGACGTTGGCAGAGGCGCCCAGCCCAGCACCCACAGAGCCGCAGACACCCATGGACGCAGACAAAGCTTCCATATATCGGTATAGTTCATTTTGCATGTGTGTTTGTGAGAGCGAACCAGAACACCACCCTATTCCTAAATCTTTGTTCTTACCTTTCTCTGTCTTCACTTCACAGATTGGCCAGAAACTAAGCCATTGATAGGAAATGTCATATGGTGTATTTGAAGCCCCCTCCCCTTTGTTCATGTGACTTTCACATTGCTCTCTGGCATTTGAAATGTGAAAGGGTGTGTTAACACCTACTGCTGATGTTTTTGTTGTCTTAACTAATATTGTGGAATGTTTTTTTGCATTTTTGTTATGTTCAACAAGCCCACAGTCTAATAAATGGTGTACAAACAAGTCATATGTTCTCACAAAAAGTTTATATATATATATATATATATATACATTTTTAGAAATCTGTCAATGTGCAGATAGTTCTGTTATCTTATGTTCATAATAGATATACAGTAGATGAAGAAAAATATGTGCAGTAACAGCAGTTTGCCTTCACTTCATTTTGACAAGCTGTCAGCATTTGTTTTCATATACCCATAACACCTTTTGTTATTTATTTTGCATTGTGGAAGCCACACTCCCACATCACTGGGGAGAAAGTAATATGTCCTTTTGAAATGAGCGTGCAGTTTATCAACTTTTCCTGTCCTGTGTGTGTGTTTGTGTGTGTGTGGGCACACCTTTCACAGCCATCCCCTGTTCCCTCTCTTGGCCCTGCTGTTTGAGAAGTGTGAACAGTCCACGCTTAGCTCTGATTGCATCACCTCTGCAAGCTTTGACGTGGACATTGAGAACTTTGTGCGCAATCAGGAAAAGGAGGGCAAACCCTTCTTCAGCGAGGACCCTGAACTTGACAACTTGGTGAGATACTTCTGCATGTCAGGGGTAGATATTCTCAGATTTCTGTTTTGTTTGTTTTTCTTTTCCCTCAAGCATTTTGGTGAAATGGCCCTGTTAGACACTGCTCTGGCCTACAAACCACTTAAAGTATTTTAACTTTCTCAGCAGGGAACTACATATTTGGAGTGCATTTATCTGGCAGCATAAACAGACTTTTTCAAAAAGAACAGCATCTTCTAATTGTTGACCTTTGGAGAGGTTACTCTTATTATAAAACATGTTTCTCTCCTTTTCTCCCTTCAGTGGAGAAAGGAAGGGAAACATGTTTTGTCTTGACATAGACAACATAGATTTTGTTCCAGGTTTTAAAATGGAATGAGTTGAACTGACTCAGTGGGGAAAAATGTGTCATCAAGCGAAGCTTCACATTTGGGGGCTAATAATGTAAGCAGAAACACAGTTTGGTTCTGAGGTATTTGACAAAACCAAAACAGGGACGTGTAAGGTATTTCACAGAAATAGAAAATAGAACCCCCAGCTCGCTCACACACTAACTAGTCAATGACCTTTAACCCTGGCAGCACTGTGAGATGCAGTCGTGTCCGCTGCTTACCTGTTACCAATTATTTAGAATACACTACCATCTCAGAATGATTCGATGCGACAGTCCACGTCACTGAGCTGTTGAATCGGACTTTGTGTTTTATCTCGGGTGGTTTAACTGTTTGTGCTGTGCCTGACCCTGACCTCCCTCAAGGGAGCAAGTTGAAATTCCCTCAGCCGACCAAGAGCGACGGAAATGCCAAAAGAATATGGCATAGATATTTTTTAACGTGTAGTAATTACTTGTATGTTTGGTGTTTTGAGCTTTTGCTCTTCATGGTCAAATCATTCTCTGATGCATCCTATAATAACACTTACCTAAGACTAACACAGGGTATCTGCAGGTCTTGTGACAGTTGATTATGTGTGCAGGAGGCAGTTGAATCCCCTTTTTGTGGCTTTTCAGTCAATACCAACAGTTTAAGTGTCTATCCTCAACATCAGACAATCGAAAGGACAAACATTTATTTTGAGAGAGACAATTTCCCTGCTGTGATCTTTCTTTTTTTTTTAAATATACCTCTGACCTGTAGATGGTGAAAGCCATCCAGGTGCTGCGGATCCACCTGCTGGAGTTGGAGAAGGTGAGTGACCTGTGTAAGGACTTCTGCAGCCGCTACATTGCCTGCCTCAAGACCAAGATGAACAGCGAGACTCTGCTGAGTGGAGAGCCGGGAAGCCCGTACTCCCCCATACAAGGCCAGGCCCAGAGCTTCTCACCCACCAAGACTCAGGTATGGCCTGTAGGTGGAATGTACACATCATCACCACCACCACCACTGGGTGCAAGAAACAAAGTCTGAAAGTCTTACACAAAACACTGACAATGTTGTTGTTAATGTCAGTATGCTTTCTGACTCATATGCAGACCCCCAGCTCTATCTCGGGTACCATCAGTCCCCAAGGTCAAATCATGGTGCCGGCATCAGCACTGCAGCAAGGGAATGTTACTGTGACAGCCGTCAACCCCACCCAGGTGGTTGCAGGTATGTCACCATGGCATACATCCCCTCCCTCAGGTATTGTACTGTTGTGACTGCAGCTCATATATTGTCATGTACCAGTGGGACTCTGTTTAAAGCTTTCTTTGCAACCTGCACTCTACAGCACAGCAGATTATATTGTGTGTGTCGGTGTGCGTTTGTTTTTAATTCAAGGTGGCACAGTGTACCAGCCTGTTACAGTCGTCACTCCTCAGGGCCAGGTGGTAACACAGGCTCTTTCTCCTGGGACAATACGCGTCCAAAACAATCAGGTAGTACATCTGTGTGATTGCTCTGAACATGTTGACAAGCTTTGTGACTGTGAGGCACTATTCCTTCTTCAGCATCTTCTGTTTGGAAAAAGCATTTTGTGATTTCAAATACTGTATGTTAGTTAGCAAACATAGTTATTCTTGTGAAAAACCATTGACCCCCACAACAATTTAAAATAGAGAAACGGCAAGACATGGCATGATGTTCGTGCTGTGATCATGTGTACAGTAATGTGTAATTCTGAATGATTAGAAAATCAAAGGAAATTGGAAGGATACGCACTCACACCAAAGCCAACCATTGTTTGCAGTTTATTCAAAGTTAAAATTTTTAATTTAGATTCACATTGTATGGAAAGGGTTGGACTATGAACATGTGTTGTTAGTGAGAAACGCATAGAAAGGTGGCTAAATAAATGTCTGTTTACTCAGCTCCAGCTGCAATTCCACCAGGACCTGAACCTCTTTAATCACGATGACAACTCAACCAAGAACAAACGTGGCGTCTTACCCAAACACGCCACCAATGTCATGCGGTCGTGGCTCTTTCAACACATTGGGGTGAGTCTGTGTGCATTAAGTCTTTGCCTTTGTAACACTTCAGTCCTTAAACACACTGAAGCATTTCTTTCCCGTTCTCTTCTATAGCACCCATATCCAACAGAGGATGAAAAGAAACAGATTGCCACTCAGACAAACTTGACACTGCTGCAGGTCAACAACTGGTGAGTTTTGGTGGCCCACAAAAACACAATCCAATACCATGAAACGGCACCATCCCAAGTTTGTATTGGCTAGGGACACTTCTCATGTTATTTTTCTCCCTGCTGTGGAAAACTGTCAGCTGGATGTCTGTCATGCCCACAGCACCTGAAGAGATGAGTTAACCTGCTGTCTTTTAAAGTCACTGATTAAACAATTTCTTCTTCTACTTGTCGCATTTCATCCTTAACAAGAAAAACGCAACTCACTTTAGTTTGACTAATAATTTTGTAAGCTGAAAGTAAAACTTCTTTTTAATGGATAACAAATCAGACTGGGACACTCCATCCAGTGTGTGGTGTAGACCTTAGGACCATGGAGAACAGATTTCTTTGTAGAGCCACGTTGCTAAACAAGAGTTCAATATACAGTAGCTACAAGACCCATTCAGGGTTGAGCCACGGTCTTGATCATACAAAACAAGTCTGTCTGCGACTAACAACAAAAGCACACATTTGAGCCATTATCGTCACAGATGGAGGAAAAAGAGACCTAAGTTGTCTTGTCTTCAGGTTTATAAATGCACGGAGGCGGATCCTACAGCCTATGTTGGACGCCAGCTCCTCTGAGACACCAAAAGCCAAGAAGAAGACCCCTCAAAACCGACCGCTGCAGCGCTTCTGGCCGGACTCCATTGCTGCCGGGGGAGGCACTCACCAGCAGGTTACCATGCCAGACGGTATGCCACAGTGTTTTCAATATACAGTTTGTATTAAAGTTAAATAGAAACGAAACATTAAATAATAATGAAAGGGTCTTTTATCCTTACCTTAAATGATTTACGATTACAACCGATCATAATCTCCCACCCCACCGGACCCTCAATGCTAATTGTTCAAAGCATAGTCGGAGTGGCGATCAGGAGTAACGGGATTAACCCGGTTGGCCGGTCGCTCTGTGGCCACTTGAACAGCCCCGTTCCTGCAAAACAAGAGCGAGATGCACCGCCAGTGGCTGAATCGGTGGGTTTGGCTATGGTTAGCTGGCTACTTAATTAAATTGGTGCCTTTTTATTGAAACATATTCAACTTTTCATAAAGCTGATACACTCATCAATGTCACACACATCACAGCCTGGATGGAGCAGGTTTAAAAAAAGTTTGTGCTGCAACTAGGGCTAGTATGTTAGGACTCATGCGGTATTATCGCATCTTTCATTAATGAAGTAATTTGGTGCTATATAGCATAGTAAGAGTGTCTGTCACCTCACTGCACAGTGAGCCGCTAACAGCAGCTTTATGGTCGGAGCAAGCTAGCTGCTGCGTGCTAGTCAACAACATTGCCAAGCAAAATCCTTTTTGTAGTTTGACCGTGTCTTTTTCACACGTAGCTTTATCATTACCTTCAGGGCAGGTATATCAAGTGAATTTACATACCGCAGCAACACACACGCACGCCACTGTGGTAACATAACTAAATTTCAACAGAAAGCAACTTAAAAAATAACTGCAGGCATCCAACACACTACGCTCGTTTGTTAGTGAGCTTCAAGTGAGGCTTACCGTTCAGTTTCTCTTGACTGTCCCTCAGGATTACAACGTTAGTCCAACATCCCCGAGCCTGCTTGCCACATTAGCAGCACAATATGCTAACGTAAAGTTAGCTAACTTTTAAAATCAACAGGAAAAACATGACAAGACTTGCATCTTCCAAGTTTGAAGTCGGGTCACGCCCATGGCGATCCATCCTTGAATCATTACAGAGCTCGATACGGTTGTGGAACTTTTGAAGCACTCATTTATTAATTTAACAAGCCCTGTGTGTACAGTGTACAGTATGAACATTGCGGTTGTTGCAGTGATTGCCATCCTCCGCGGTAGGCTTGACCAAAAGTATTTCAATTTTATCGCAACAGCCCTAGCTGCAACAAACTTTATAAATGTTGAACTCATTGTTCTGCATAAATGGGTATGATTACTGACAAGTTAGTAGCCTGCCTAAAGTCAACAACCCCAGACTGAAACAGCTGTAATTTGAATTAATATTATACTAGTGGTAAGTTATATATTATTATATGAAGTTATATTCAATATAGTAACATAATGAAAATATTAATATCAAACTTACGGTTTACTCTTAAATTAATTTAGTGTTATAATATTATACTAATACAGTCATTTAGAGTAGTTCCTCCTCCAGGTTGTGCCTGTGCTGCATCGCCTACACTACTTATGTCATTCATCACTCCGTTTATTCTCTTCATCTTTGTTCCCTCCTGGCCTGTTTGAATTTTGTTGTATTGATCAAGTGGTTGATGAAAGTTATCACACATATCTTTGCAGGCAAGCTCACATTATCTAGTTTAAACCAACTAAAACACAAAATTACACTGTTTCACATGATTTGCTGTAATGTTGCGTACATAAACGTCATAGCTTATGTAAGACAGTGAAATCTGACCAGTCCTTCACATAGAGAACAGTTGGCCCATACAGGCTGTTATTGGTAACTGAGAGAATTGGAGAATGCCTCAAGTTTTAGATGGCGTTACAACCTGATGACATATAGGCAATAAATATGTTGTAAATATATTGAAATTCCTTTTAAAAACTCAAATGTCCCTTTTTAAAGGTGTGTGGCTGATTTAATCGGTTACAGTATAAAGTGGCATGGCAGTCTTACAATATGTTGAAAAGGTCTTTAAAAAGGTATTGAATTTTACTTCAGGATTCCTGTGTATATACCCTGTTTTAAAGTGTCTGAGAAAGACGCCAAACTCGTCGTTTGCAGACACTGTTCAGCTGAATTGTCTCCTAGCACATCCACTCCGTCTGTAGCTGACTTGTTAGAAAAGGGAACAAACGGTCTGACCCACTTTGAGTGTTCCTGTCACTCGTTTGTGAGAAGGCGTTTAAGCTAGCCGCACCTAAATTAGGAGTGCACAGGTATTCAAGCCTTTATGGTAAATCCACTGAAACAGAACAGTGCGAGCTGACGGGCAGGTTAGCGACTCAGTGAGCACAGCCTCGCCATTGAAAAAGGGCAACACAGGCAGATCTGGCTGCCCAGAGAGCAGAGGCTGTGCTCACACCGCTGTCTGGGGTATGTAGAGACTGAGCTGCACTTCTTAACCCAAATAACCAAATATGTTGAAATTAGAGAATCTTCATTCAGTAAATTCAGCTCAATCCTCCCTGAGTTTTAAAACTACACAAATGAAGAAAAACTACCGCACATTCTGGGAGAGAACAAAGATTTGGCCGGTAAGGCAGCAAAATATGTAGCCGCCTTCCACAACCTGAGGGATGGCCGGTGAAGGCACAAACTCCTTTTCTGTTTGGAATCATGATGTCAACTGTCTTATTCTGTTTCATTTCAGTTCTGTTCAACTTGATCAATCTTGATCTTTGATGTGTGTATGTATGTGGCTTTGGCAATAATGTCAAAATTAATGCCAAAAAAGCTTTATTGAATTGAGAGAGGGAGCTGACCTGATATTTTGATTGTTTATTCAATAAATGGATTTTTTTTATTTTTATTTTTTTTAAAAAGCACCACAGAAAAAAGGGTGCTTTCTCTCCAGTAAGAAAAAGGACAGGGGCTCAAGCCCTTTTTGATGTCTGTGTGCACGTGCCTGCTATTCAGTCACACTATGGCAAGCGTCAATGAAATGGCGGAGCTTTAAGACCCGCTGCAGGTTCCTGGCCAGTTACCGTTACAATACCAATGCAGAGACAGTTGTGTATAAGACGAGGACGGTGTCTGTGTGTTTGCGTTGCACCACTGTGAATGGAAAACATCCAACGTGCTAACCCACATTAAACTACATCACCCAGATGTGATCACCGAGACAAAAAACAAACAGGAACCCAACTCCTTATCCCCACTGCTTTCAAGCCAATACTATTTAATAATATATTTCAAGTAGCCTTTAAATGCAAAAACAGAATGGAATGAATAATCACTGAAGCAATTGGCATATTATATTACATTACATATCTTATCTAGCCAAGGTGTAACTAATTAACAACTCACACTGCACTAGTTTCATTTTTTATTATTGTATTTATTTTGAATTTTTGGTTTCATTTCATAAGAGTTCTTAATGCAACGAATATTGTATTAATTTTGTGTAATCAAACACAACCCAAAAAGCCATTGTGTATTAAATATGAATGAGTATTTTAATAAAATGTTTTATTAAATTCAGGTAACTTAAATTTTCTTGGGCTTAAAGTTCATACAGATTTTCCATTATATGGCAGTGAGGTTGGCATTAAATTTCATACTAGGTGGTATTAAAAAGTCTTAAATTTAACTTTGCGAATCCAGGGGGTACCCTGCAATAGCACGCTAAGATACTGATAGTGATGTCATTAGCCAGTGTAATCAGATTTAATAATAATCATTACATTTATATAGCGATTTATCATGGAAACTCAAAGCGCTTCAAAGTGAATTGGGGGGGACTCTCCTCAACTACCACCAGCTGCGTTGAGCAGCGCTGTTGACAACGAAAAACATTAGCATGGAAGCAGCGCCACTCGGCCGTACACTAGTTGCAGTGAACGCGTGAAGGTAAGTATTATTGTTATTGGAAAATGCTAGTAATGCAACTTGTTTTATTACATAGATATGTGTTGTTCAAACGTACGGCTACCTTACCGTGTAACGTTAAAGGTAGAATTAGCTTACTCTATGCTTGCTAGCTAGCATCATGCACCCGACGGGTGAAGTGACCTGCATCTATTTCTCATTAGCTAGTTTTGTCTAATTAATATAACATTATTCGCAGTACATCGGATAGTTTTTTTTAATTTTTTATTTATTCAGCGATGTGTGACTGTACACCCTATGTATTTGCTGGAGTTTCTCAACAGTTTGTCTGTTTCTACCTCTAGCACTAAACAAGCAGAAGACGTCAACAGATTTAGGCTTCAGCTTGTTTTGAGGCTGTGCATCCTCTCAATCCCCGGCCTACATCATCACTAACTGAAGAAATCAGGTTAGTGACACTAAAGTTATTTTATGTCAAGACCCATACCCATCCTGTATAGCTTTAAGTTTGGAGAGGAAGTACTTACTCTATACTGTATATAGTCCCCAAAACTATTGATAGCATCATAGAGAGGTGCTGCTATTTAGTTACTGTCGGATGCAGTGGTGTAAAGCACGCCGCCACTGGACACTAGAGCAGAGGAGACGTGTTCTTTGCAGTGACGAATCACACTTCTGTCTGGCAATCTTATGGACGAGTCTGGGTTTGTTCTGGTTTCCAGGAGAAAGTTCCAACATTACTGCACACCAGTGCACAAAGCAAAGTCCATGAAGACATGGATGAGCGAGTTTGGTGTGGAGAACTTGACGAGCCTGCACAGAGTTCCGACCCCAACCCGATAGAACACCTTTGGGATGAATTAGAGCCTTCTCATCCGACATCTGTGCCTGACCTCATGAATGCGCTTCAAGAATGATCAAAAATCCCCATGGACACACTCCTGGTCCTTGTATATAGCTGCAAAGGGGGGCAACTCATATTAAATCCTACGGATTAAGAATGGGATGTCGTTAACCTTCATAGCATGTAAAGGCAGGCAACCCAAAACTTTTGGAAATACAGTGTAGGTTTAATTGTCATATTAAAACAGAGTTGTAAAATGAAATGTAGTTTGTAACTCTCTTCTGCTACATAGCAGACAATATACAGTATACAAAAGCAAATTGTAAATTGTGAGCAAA